TCTTCTGCAAAGGCATCATGGAAATTATATTTTTCTCTGTGAAATACTTTAGCTAAAATATTTTTTGCCCCTCTTTAGATTTTTTTTCTATGAAATCTTTTGGGGATGTTTTTTTGTAGAAAATAAAATCCCCAAGCCTGAAATTTGTTTTAGTAGTTTAACCATTGGGGCTTGCAAAAAATTCAGGTGGACCGGCAAAAACATTTTGGTTAACTGAAAGTTTGCACCTAACGAGTGAACTTTAGTTTTTGACTGCCAAAAAAAAGAAGACAGCGCTTTTGTTTTCTTTTAAAGAAATATCTACAAGAAAAATCAAAAAGCCATGAAGATTTCCATTTTTATGAAAGAGGCATTTTTTTTATTGGGGGGGGAATAGTTTGAGGGGAAAATGTTGACTGGGTGCAGTCAGCTGATTTTTAACTCCCAACACGCACCAAAATGCCAGAATATTTATTTAAGGTGTTAGAGCGAAAAATTAACATCAAACCCGTTCATGCCACACATCACGATGCTCTGTTTTTAATGGGTGCTTGTTTCATCTTTCCCTGTAGGGGAGGGAGCAGTATCCTTTTGGGGAGTAATGTGCTGCTTGGCTGGCAGAGGCCTGAGAAAAAGAGCAGTTTAAGGAAGAAGCGAACAAGTACAAAGGAAGGATTTCATAGTACATTTATTCCAAGACAGCCACCTTTCTATAATTGCCCTGCAGCACTTTTTATGTCATCCTGGGCTAGAACTGGCATTTGACAAATCTCACCCTTTCTGAAATCCCATTATATTTGATCTTGCTGGATGTCATGCACTGCTAAAAGCCAACAACTGTCGGAGCAATAGGCATGAAACCCAACTTAGACCTCCTGCTAGGACATAGGCCCTAGATAGAGGGCCAAGAGCCATCTTTTACACCGGGGAGAGGAGAGCTGCTGACTTGAGCTTAGAAGGCAGAGCACTCAGAACAAAATAGACTGGCCCCAACTAATGACCGCCTTCGTGTTTCACTTATTAATTGCAGTGTGCAGAAGAGACACGGCGACTTTCATTAGGGCACGGACTCAGTAGAAAACATGGCTCAAATCCCTCACTGTGCACAAATAAATCCTCCCTTTTTTTTTTTTCTTTCGCAGCAAAGACTCAGTGAGTCAAGATTAGGGGACTATTTGCTTGGATGGGCGTGTGTGGCTTTGCGGCCAGCACGCGTGTTTACATGGAAACACAAAGTCATGCACACATGTAAAAGCCCTCATTAAATACTGAGGAGGCCTGTAGCATGGAGATCTTGATGCGAGGAAGCACGGCGATCAGCCAGAGCGCGAGTTGTATGAATACAGACCTCACATAAAGCTTCGCTTTTCAGAAGTACTGAGCGAGCCTTATGAAAGCAGCCCAGGGCATGCTCGGATAGAGCTGCTGTGATTTTATCGCTGGCAGATGAAAGAAGAACGACGGTGGCAGCGTTCCTGCTGTTAGAGCAACACATCCTGCAGCCCCGTGCTGCGAGAACTAGTCCTCAAGGCAGAAGGATCAAAGGGGATGCTGCCAGCTCATGAGTCCCGGACCTGGAGCTTCCTAAAGTCACTGTTAAAGAGCAGCTGGTGGCATCCCAGTTTCCCAGACATCAGGGCAAGTGCTGCCATGGGATGAGGGTGCGATGCCCACAACAGCTGGGTTAAAACTCCTGGGCGGTGTGAAAACCCCTGGGGGGTTGTTTTTGATCACTTATTTCCTCACTGATTCTGCAGAATTGTCAACACCCTTAGCGAGAAGGAAATATAAGCTCCCGCTTGTCAAAGCATCCAAGCACACGTTTGTCCTCCTTCAGCCAGTGGCTTGCCTTTGGTGGGGCTTAAGCCAGTGCTGAAATGGTTTGCTAAACAGGCGACAGGTTAGCACCCCCTCCAAGGTAAGCCTATACTTGTGTGCATGGCTAAAGCGGGGCTGGAGGTAGCACGTTATGTAGGGACCAAACCTCTGGGTGTGCTCTGTGGTCCAGTGCCCTGCTCTGCCCTTTTCTTCAGAGCTGCGTCAGCTTATCTCTGCCATTTGGTACCATCCATTGGCCTTCCTATATAAGCTGCCCCACACCACACTAAATGCACGATGCAGCCTCTGTCCTGGGACGGCACTGTCTAATGCTGAAAGTCATTTCATCAAAGGACTTCTCTTGCAACCATCATAGGGCACATGGGATGGTATAAGCCAAGCAGGGACTGCTTTTATTGGTATCTGTGGCTGTTTGCACTGTTCTTGTTACTTTTGTTTGCTGGGCCCACGCTCCGTGCTTATGTACATGCAAGTATAAAAACAAATGCAAGTATTGGATCACCATAGATCCAACCTTGGAAATATTTGCTCCTATGAGTATGGGTTTCCTGAGTGAGGTCAGGGCTTCTCTTTAGAGTGTGGTGGCCGGGGCAGCAGCACACAGCAAGCTGTGGGGGAGACGAGTAGTGTGGTGGCAGATAGGGCAAGGAGCAGAAAGCAGAGCATCAGGTGAGGCAGGGAGCAGAAAGCAGAGCAGTCAATCAGGCAGGAGAAAGGGATTGGAGTGGCACATGGGGAGGGTACGGGGCTAATGTGTGGCGTGCCTGCCAGAAAGGTTGGTCCCTCCCACTGACTTAGAGCATCTTGTAGCCTGATTAGATGATCCCTGTGTGCATCCCTCCCAAATACCATGGGGAACTGGTTCTTAACCTCATTGGACTCGCAGCATCTGTTCCTGTTTTGCAACATGAGTAGCACCCAATTTCAAAACCGCATTTAGGTATTGTAGTGCTTACCCTTTTACACAGGAGCTGGGCAGTAGGGGTAGGGGATTGTCTAGGCATGGACAAACCTGAGCCTGACTTATCTGCTTAACTTATCTGCTAGTCTCCTCTCACCTCACCTGTCTCCTCACACCTTGTGGCACCCTTCAAAAGATCTGGCAGCACCCTAGGGTGCCCTGGCACCTTTGTTGAGAATCATGGCCTGAAGGTCTTACCCATTTGATAAAACACAGCACTAGGATTTGAACTCCCTTGCAGGCTCAACAATCTCCGGTGGCCGTAACCCTTTGTGTAAGGGGGCAAACATCTACTTTTTCAACATCTTTCCATGTTGCCCTGTAGGGGCAGGCCGACGTTCAGGATCTCAATATTGTGCTGTTAGACAGGAGGGTGTGGTGTACAATTGCACATATACACACAAAAATCAATTTGGCGCACACACACTCTAGGTGCATACACCCGCACCGGGCACACCCATGCATACGTATCACCAATTCAGGCTCATACATGCTCTAATGATAATGACATGAAATCATACACAATATACACATACATACACATATACACACAGGTTGAACACGGATTCAGGTGACAGTGTGTGTGTGGTGATGCCTATGGTAGCTATGCTTGGGGTGCTTGGTAACTAAAGAGCAAGTGGCATAGATCGGGGAAAAGGCAGTGGAGATGAAGCAATAGCAGTGGCAGAGATCAGGGGAAAAGGCAGTGGAGATGAAGCAGTAGCGTGGCAGAAATCAGGGGAAAAGGCAGTGGGATGGGTCAATAGCAGCTGCAGAGATCAGGGGAAAAGGCAGTGGGGGTGGGGCAATAGCAGTGGCAGAGATCGGGGAAAAGGCAGTGAAGACGAAGCAATAGCAGTGGCAGAGATCAGGGGAAAGGCAGTGGGGATGGGGCAATAGCAAGGAAACAGGAGTTTGCAGGCAGAGAGGAGCTCAGGACGGCTGGAATCGCAGGGGCATGAGACAGGTGTTGGAGGTGGCGGAGAGCCAGAAGCAGGAGAGGGAGAAATGAGACTGAAGTAAGAGGGGCGAGGAAAAGCAGAGATTGGAGCAGGGCCAGAACCGTAATAAAGCAAAACCCAACTCAGGGGTCCAAACAACAGGCTTATTAAATGAACACTGTGCTGTACAGCTTGGTTCCCACACACACACACAATGGTAGCAGGGGAAAGAGCCTCAGTGGAAGGGCTGGAGTCCAGGTAGGGAAGAGAAACAGAGTCCAAGTCCTTGGTTGAAGAGAGGTGGGGGTGATAGCTACCTGTCTAGGCTGGGAGGGGGTCCTCGGTCAGTCGGGGTCTTTCTCCATCAGGTGTTGTCCAGAGGGGGTCGCCAGCAGGGCTTCTGGGTGGATAGGCAGCGTGATGTGGAGCAGGTCTGGTCCAAGTGAAGATGGCGTCCCCAGGAGTCAGTCTTCACTGCCCCTTTTTATGGGGCAGACTGCCTGTGATCTCCTATGGGGAGGGCAATGTCAGCCCTTGTCCAGAGGGCTCCAGATGTTCAGCGTGCGCATGTGCAGCCTTGGCACCATGGTGGGTTGCCTCGTCTTTTGTGTCTTGAATGCAGAGGGTGGTTCCAATGGCTGGGTCCTTGGTCCAGGTATTGGTTTTGATGGTGGGGTGATTTAGTAGGAGGTCCTGCTGTCATTGTGTTTCACTCATCCATTCATACTCTTGTTTCAGGCATTCAAGGAAAACCAGTTGACATGGGAGAGGTTACAGAATTGCAACAGGGTACAGGGGCAAGATGGGAACAAGATGGGAATGGATACTTGACATCACTTTTTACAGACACAGGCCTAAACCATGCAATATTAATATGAAATAATAAAAATCAATGCACAAATGATAGGAATACAATATAATACAATATAAAACAGTAAAAATCAATACAAACATAACAGAACACTATTTGCAATGTACAAGAACTTAGCTTACCTAGTACTACTTGTAATCACTTATAAGGGATAGAGAGGGCAGAGAGAAAGTCAGATATGGTTGGGAAAGGAGAGGGAATGTATTTTTAAATTTAAAAAAAGAGGAAAAACTGGGGTTTTGCTCCATCCACAGCGAGGTATGCATCCACTGACCATGGAGAAATGAGTCTGGTGTCTAAATGTAAAAGCCTTTTTTGTGTGCAAAGCTGTTTTGTTTGCTCAAGGTGGTGAGAAGGAGGATGGTGGGATCAGTTGTTCAGCAATAACAGTTCACCTGGTTTTTGGCAGGTGAAATGGATACAACAGCAGGAAGTGAAGAGACGAGTTAAGAGGCACGTGCGAAGTGACCCACATCTCCCAGACTTCGATGACCCCATGTGGCCAAGTATGTGGTACTTGGTGAGTAGCGTAGATGGACTTTTCCTCCTAGGCAGGTACTTATTTGTTTGACAGAGGCATTACATGGGGTTTATTTAATGGGCTGTTTCATTTGCTGAGCCTGGTTGATAATGAAACCTATTCATTGACACAAACACAGAAGATAATGTGTTTCAGAGCTGTATTTTAAAACTATAAATTCATATACCCCAGGATACAGGAGGAGGTAGGTTTAAATTCTTTGCTGTAATTAGCTGTCCCTCACAGCCATCATTTTATCTCGAGCATGAGGAAGAAACGTGGAGCAGCAGGCAAGTGCAAATTCATGTCATTTTAAAAAGGCTGAAACTGTTTATTTGCAATAACACCATTTTTTTTTTTGGTTCATTGAGCGGGTTTTGGCAGGGAGAGTCCTTCATAATAATGGCATGTAATAGAAATGCTGCTGCCTATTCAAAGTTGAAGAACGCACTTCTGAAATAGAAGCACCAAAGAAGGCACTGCAGATTCCTATTCCCTTCGTTAATCGGGTCTGGTTTTATAATCACACAGGTATAACAACTGTAGAAACAGGTTGGTCAGCTTTGAAAGGCAAATGTCAGTTGTCTGAGTGCTTTCACAGCATCTCACCTCTGCAGGTGGTATGACACTTTGGCTTCCTGGGATGCCAGGCTATTCTGGGATGCCAGGCTATTAGTGCTGATGCTTTGCTGTTTTCATCTTTAGCACTGCGGGGACAAGAGCAGTCGCTGCAGGTCAGATATGAACATCCTAGGAGCCTGGCAAAGAGGCTACACCGGTAAGAATGTCGTAGTGACCATCCTGGATGATGGCATTGAGAAAAATCACCCGGATCTTGTACAAAACTACGTAAGTACAAACTGATTTGGGATGTCATATCCAAAGCAGAAGAGTGATGTTTTCTTAATTGCAAAATGGAAGCAGAGGGGTTTTTTTGAGTAGCTTGATTTCTGAAGACCTTTCATGCATCAGCAGGAAATAAAGTACAGCTCCCCAGTGAAGTGTTTGGAAACTCTATTCTGTTTGGGGAGACTAGGAACTGGGGGTGGGAGATGGCTTATACCATCATCAGACTCTTGTGAGAGTAAAACCCAGCAGCCTATGGCCAGAGCGAAATGCAGATGCAATGTGAATGATTTCACTCGGCCAGAGTTTAAACCCAAATCAACCAGGCTTTCTTCAGTCAGCTCTTAAGCGGCCCTGGGAAAGGCTAGTCCTTGAGCCAGGCTCACATTTCAGCTCAGAGAGAACCTGGCTTCCAATCCCCCTTGTCCTAGCTAGGAACTAAGCCTTAGTCTCAATCTTGGTTGGGCACTTTGTCGCATATACACAGACGTTAAACCTTATTGCAGATCTCCCTGCTATCTCAGGTATTAGTTGGATTGTTAAAAAATCCCATACAGTGCCAGCCACTGTTGACTCTGTGCTAAATGCACATGGGCACGATGCTGGGGTGGGAGTCAAATGCCTCTGAGGGGAACTGAACCTGTCAGGGCCAAAAGTTTGGTGCTGGGTGTCTCCCCCCACAACAGCTGGCAGTGTCCCAAGGCAGTGAGCAGTGCTGAGCTACCTTCTACCAGGGCTCGGGCCCTCCACAGGGACCCTTTGCAGTGACCTGAGTAATTCTTTCATCCTCTTTCTCACCTTCTAAATGTCTTTGAGATGAGCTCCACCTTTTCATGGTTTTAGGGCCAGATCCCTTCCTCCCCCGGTCCCTACTTAGACAAACTCCTGCTGATGTCAGCCATAGGCGACTTGTAAGGCGTGCATGGGGGTGCACGTGCCCCCTCTGATGGGGCCGGTGCCCCCCTGACAGCCGACACTGATGCTGTCAGCAGGGCTAGTGCCCCCCCTGACAGGGCCACTGCCATCGGCAGCTTTTGCGGGTGCCCCCCCCAGATTCAGGAGGCACCAGTCACTTGTGCAAGGGAAGATGATGAAGGACTTCAGCTTCATGTTGGAGTCTATCAACCTGTGATTTCTCCTGGGCATCCGGGTGAGTGCTGGGATGGGGCTGGACCATGCTGGGACAAGGAGCGGAGAGGCAGGGATGCCTGCAGTGAGGCCCTCCGTGCCCGCGTCAGTTATTTCCCTTGCAGACAGTTTCCGCTCTTGGCCTGTGTGCTCCTGACTGCGGGTCCCATATGTTGGGTGTCACCCAAGATGCCAAGAGCTGGAAACAGATGCTTGGGACTGAAATGAGAGGAGCCAGGTCACCGCAGCAGCCGCCTCCCCATCCTGAGCCCCGAGTGCCCTGTTAGCGCTGACGTGGCGTCTCATCTGGCTTGCAGGCATTTCATGTAAGCGTTTGAATGGATTTGTGCAGCAAACGCTTTGTGGCCTTGCAGGAAGGCGTATTTGGAAAAGCAGGATATCTCAAAGAGCGTTCTTTCTGGAGGCCCTTTCTGTCAGCGGGGAGACAGGATTTCAATCCTGAGGAAAGAGCTGCATGTGTAAGGAAAACTGGCAGCTCAGCCATGCCTGCATTGCAGTTGAATGAGGTAGCGTCAGAGCCCCAGAGTGGGGGCTTCTGCCTTTCAGGGCCTGCCCCAGATGTAGGCAAAGTCTTTCCAAGTGAATGCAATGGCAGCTTATGGCATATGCAGCCTGCAAGCAGCCATGCCTTGTGGGAGCTGGCTTTGGAGAGATCTTTCCACCCCACTTGCTACAGTCATCGAGACTTTCCCTCCACGGGGTGTGAGTTAGATCTCTGCCACACGCACAGTCGATCTCGCTAACAGCAGCCTGATGTTTTTAGGATCCTCTGGCAAGTTACGACGTCAACGGGAATGACAACGACCCAAGCCCACGCTATGAGGCCAGCAATGAGAACAAGTATGTCATAGGTTTCATCGATTTCATAGACATTAGGGCTGGACTGGACCTTGCGAGATCATCGTGTCCAGCCCCCTGTGCAAGGGGCTGGAAGTCGGCGGGGGTCAGATCACCCCAGCAAGATAAGCGTTTCTTAAAGGTGTCCAAAGTAGGTGTTTGCACCACTTCTGGGGGAGTCTGTTCCAGTTGTACTCAGGGTAATGCACCTGGCACTTCTGCTATGGGCTGCACAACACCTTCAGGGCACTTGGCTAGCAGGCACTAGCTAATTCTCACAGCAGCTGCCCCTCAGGGGACTGGGGTTATAGGATTGGGGTTGAGGGGAGGGAGGCCTGGGGCGGAGGAGGAGTGACCCATACCAGGGTGCATGCCAGAAGGTGCATGTCAGCCCTTTGTTTAGGCCAGGAATGGCCAGACCATGGCTCATGTACCACAAGTGTGCGTGGTACCTGAGCCGGATGCACTCAGTAAAGAGAAGCACTGGGATGGAGGCAGAAGGGCTCCAGCCTCCATCCAGGTTGGGGAGAGTAGGGGGCAGGCCTGGACCCTGCTGTGAGGGGTGTCACCGCAAAGAGCCAAGATAACCCTTCCCTGACCCAGCAGCTGCTGCTGAATTCAGGGCTTTGGACCCTCACTTGCCACATCGAAGTGCAGTGATTGTGAGACTAGGGCAGGGTTAATTTGGCTCTTGGAGGTGACACCCCTCTGGCATCAGCATCCTGCCCTCAGCTCTGGAGCTGGAGCCCCTGTCTGTTCTGGGGCAGGGATCAGAGCAGCGCTTGGGGAATGGGAGGCTTGACAAGGTTGGTCAGCGCTGGTTTAAGCTCTTAAACCAATGTGAATGATACAGTGTGACAGGACATGATGACCATTGCCTGAGAACAGCCTACATTAAAGCATTTTCGCAGATGGTGAGTAGCTTAATAGCAGATCTGTCCACTTTGGCTGTCTGCCGTGGTCTGGTGTAGAGAGAGGAACATCCAGGATGTTTTTTTCTGAGTTGGTGGAGAGACCAAACAATTTTACCGTTGAAAAGCAGGGGAGGGGGACTTATCACAAACCAGCTGATTCCACTGTTACGGTTTCATCTGTCTGCCCTGTCTCACAATAGGTGGAAGCCAAACCATGATAATTTATCACCAGTTTCATGCAGGGGTAAATCATAGCAGTTTGATTTCAGCTGCTGCAGAATCAGAGTGCACAGATGAAACCCTAACAACAGATCAGCTGGTCAGCACCCATGAGTGGTAATCTTCAGTTTGAAGCAGGATTAACTAACTGTTTGCTGCTCCCTGCCCTGGCAGCTGATTTCTAGGATGGTTTAAGTCATGGGGCTTGCTGCACACTGCCTGTCCTCTCCTGATGTAGCTCTTGGTTAAATGCCACTCGCTGTCCTCCGCCAGCAGTGCTGTGTCCATCCTCACTCAGTTTGCAGTGATATAAGCATCGGTTCCAGGGTCCATTTAGGTTGTGTCCTTTCTCTGACAGTAGTAGACACGTCAGAAGAAGGTATTAGACCCCAGGTAAGTGGCCAGGAGATGCTTTATTTCTCGCATCAGGCGTGCTCTTGATCTCTGCTAGTCAAGCCAGTGTAAGCCTAGCAGCTTGCAGCTCCTAATCCCTTCCATAATTTTTGGTGCCATTCATTCGGATATTCCTAGCATCCCTCTAAATTTCCAGGCTGTCTGGGGCCTCACTGACTTCCCGTGGCACTGAACTGCATGGTCTGACTACCCATTTTGTGATGAGTGTTTCTTTGATCAGTTTGGTATCTGCCTCCTCTTCCATTTCCTTGACTGCTTTTGTTCTCACGCTAGGAGACAGGGATAACAGCAGCCCCCATGTCCTGTCTGCTCGAAACCTTTCATTACTGTAAGTCCTTTCATCAGCTTCCATCTCATGCGTCTCCTCTCAAAGGGAAACAGCACCCATCTTTCTAGTCTCTCTGGTGAGAGGTTTTTTTTTTTCCCCAGGCTCTTGATCTTTATTCTCATTGGCCTTCTCTAACACCCCGCTCCCCTGCCCCCACCTGCCCCCAGCCGAATCCTCTCGGACACGAGCTGTCCCGTCTTGCACATAGGATCCTGCCCCCGATGTGAATAAAACACACAATCCTAGCAATTGCCCGGGCCCTCTCAGTTCAGCTCTCTAGCCAGCACCCCTGCTTTTGAGTTAATTATTCTGTAATTGTTGCCTGCAAACATTTGTGAGCAAACAGCAGGGCTCCCTGAACGTGGTAAACCCCATAAATTGCCAGCAAACTTGCTAAATAGCAAGCCCTAGGATCAGTCGCTTTTCTTTCATGTCCTGTGTCACAAGAAGCCTTTATAAAAGGAATAGCTTCACCAGTGAAAACCTAGGGGTCTGTTTCTCTTTTCATTTCACAATAGGCCTCAGATGGGGAGGGTCTGCTACAGGCCAATTGGTGTGCAAAGAGGGGTGAATTTTCAGCGTGGTGCTGGGGGATTATAACCGCATGGCTCCTGATGCTGATAATAGGAGCCGTGTAGTGAAATGCCTGAACAACCTGCTGCAGCTGTGTCCTCTAGTCTAACAGGACCAACCAAAAAACTAGTTTTAAGGGTGACCTTACATGAATTCCCTTAACAATACTAATCCTCTAAGCACTTCTCTAATTTAGTGGATTAGATGTCAAAACTTTGACACGGTTTTGGAACTTAAATTGAAGTGGGACTTCCACATGGTGGCACATTTGAAAAGGAAACATTCATACAAGAAGCAATTTGCTTTCCCAATAATTTCCTGCATTCCCTTGGCCATTGTTGTGTTGGTTGAATAAGGATCTTTCCATCTCTTGAGCTGGTGTCTCGAATGAGGATCTTTCAGTCTTTTGAGCGGCTGCAGCCTAGGCCTGTGTTTGTGATCTCACCAGAGGGATTGGGATGTCACAAATGGATCATTGTGACATCGCTGCAGGATTGGGACAGCAGAGGAATGGTGGGGCTCTTACATGGGGCTGAGTCCATTCCTAGCATCTGACAAAGTAGGTTGATGCTTAGGAAAGCTTGTGCCTCTCTGAACCATTTAGTTTGTAAGGTGCAAGCCTGCCCTGCCTTCTGCCTGTGATGACTAGGCATGATGTTGAGGCAGTTGGGGATCGTGTGCCACAGGGGCACGATGCACACCTGTGCTTGCATGCTGGAAATCCTTTCCACAGGGCACACCCTGATGGTACGCTCTCTTTTCAGGCATGGCACCCGCTGCGCGGGAGAAGTCGCAGCTTCCGCAAACAACTCCCATTGCATCGTGGGCATAGCGTACAACGCAAAGATTGGAGGTAAGGCTGGCGCTCAGCTCTGGCTTTCTCGCTTCCCATGGCTCGCTGCTGCATGCCTATGCCCGTACAACTGTGGCGTGTGGTGTCTTGAATGAAGAGAGAACTGGCCTTGGTTTTGGAGCAGTGGTCTGTCCTGGGTCTTCTGAATCTTTGAATTGTCATGATAGATGTCCTGATGTCATCAGTGGAGAGTAATTTTTACAAGTCACCTCCCTGCTTTTTACATAGAGACCAAGGGGCCTTATTTTCAGGTAGATGTTGTAGCCTGTCTGAGTCTCACTGTGTAGATCCCTTAAAGCCACTTTGAGTGCAGACCTCTGGAGCTGCTCATGGTAGTTTCATGGAAGTGTCTCAGTTTCACTGGGAAGTGCTTCTGAGAGACTGAGGCCTGTTGCTCTGTAGGGAGGGCACTGGCCAACAACTGACTGATTCACTGCAATCTAGTAGACTAAAACTGCTGATCTAGGATTTGAACTGGCGTTCACCCGCCTGTGGGCCCGCAGCACCAGCATGCATACATGCACATGCTGATATGAAAACGGAGGCATTGACACCGTGCTCTTTTCATGAAGATCATTGGTTTCCCTTTCAGGGCAGAACAGAAACAGATGCCCTCAACTTTGAATGCGGCTGCAAACTGGATTTGTCCCTCTCTAACCTCCTCTGCTACCAACCCCTTCTCCAGGGGAGTCGGTAGCAGCAGTGTCGGTGGGAGCAGACACCACACCCCAGTTCAGATGTAGAATCAGCTGGGGGATTGAGATGTAAATGTAAATCATTCAGGAGGGTGACTTAGAGAACTGGGGCTCTTTGGATGTTTGCCTCCGAGATGGAGCTGATGGGAGAAGTCTGAGAAACAAAGTTAGGTCTCCATTTGTCACAGACAGGTTTTGCTGCTGCTCTGTACAGTCTTTCCTATATCATACATTTTGCCATTAGCTTTTCCCTGTGGTTAAGTGTAACCCTGAGCCCACAGGTGCCGATGTAGGATCGTGCTAGAAGTGGAACAGGTTGCTCTGCTGCAGGCCTTTGGGAGATGGCTCGAGTTGGGGCCGGGGATGTTTTCCTAGTAACTCCCTGCTTCTTGGAGTCCATCCCTGGAATTGCAGCACCATCCATAGCAAGGGTCTTGCTGCCTGGCCCTCTGCCTAGCTTGGTCTGTGGGCTCATTTGTTATGGTGGAGTTGGATTTTACTCCTTGTGTTGCTATAAAACGGGGTGATGGAGGCCGGCTGTGTGCTAGCTGCCTGCCCCTTCCCCTTGTGGGCTGAGGGGGTGGGAAGTGCATGGTCCCCCTACTCTGCCCCTCTCCTTCTTCCAGAACTGCCCTCCCGGGAGAGCATTGCAGGGCTTCTGACTGTCTGTGACCGAGCAGTGCAACCAGCACAGCTTTGTCAGCAAAAATGCTGCCTCTGGGAAAGCTGGTACAGCATGATGGGAACATAGTAATGAGCCTGTGCTGGCCACGGGAGAGCTGTCAGGGCACTCACAAGGGAAGGCGGGACAGAAGTATGGGCAGAACAGGAATAGATCTTGTTTATCTCATTTTCCTTCCTCCCCTGAATTTCTGACACCCCTCCGTCCTTTTCTGTTCTCCAGATATCACCCACAAGTCTATTCCCTTTTCATCTCCTAGAGGAGATGTGCACAAAGACAATTCCTTGTGGCCCGGCATGTAGGAGAGGAGGTCACTTGCTCATGGGGAAGCACAGGCCAGCAGGACAGCTTGCATCATCTGGTGCCACCACAGCGAGCTCTTGGGATTCTGGGGCCTGACTCAGGCCCACTGCTCCTGTCCATTCTCAGGAACACCTTCCGCTAGAAGAATCCTTTCTGCTTCCCTGCATCTCTTCTCCCTTTCCCCACCACCATCTTTCTTTCCTTGCTCCCTTTGTGGGCTGGTCTGTTGAGACAATTTGAGCATTTTGCACTATGGGGAGGGCATGTGGGTGAAAAAATTCCTGCCCTTGCCATAGGGGTTGATCACTTGCAGGGGGAGGGAAGGATGGGAGCACCCGGGGCTCAGGCCCTGCTCGTTCCGGACAATCAGCTCATGCCCAGAGGGGCTGCTTTCTCCATCACACTGTGCTCATCTACACGTTCAGTTAATGCCGTTTGAATGTGCACCTGGGAGCAAAAAACTCCAGAGCAATATTTGTGTGCGGCACATGCAGCCCAGTAAGAGCAGCCCAGGCTGGCACAGGTCCTGGGGGTCAGCCTGCCAGCCCAGGGCTGCTCCGACTGGGCTTCACATGATACAGAGCAGCTGGCTGGGGCACAGGGTGCTTCAACCCAGGGG